CCCCGCAAGCCTTTGTGAATTGTATCTCTTCCCCCCCCCTCCTCCCCCGGACTCCTCCTTTGAGCTGTCTACTCCCAGATTGTCCCACACAGAATTGTCTCCCCACACACCTGGATCCCCCCCACATTGACCCTTTCCATACTTGGTTCTTGCCTGGTTGAGCCTGCTTGCCCGGTCAGAGCATCAGGGTCCCACAGTGTTTCTGGCAGGACTGGGCAACATCAGGTGCAGCCTGATCACTGATTTTCTTGTCCCAGGGATGAGAAGTGGGGGCGCTGCATGTTTGTGATAGCATGTGCATCTTGTCCTGTATTGTATGGAATGTCAGGAAGACATTTCTCCCAGTATTTTCAGCAGGGTGATGGCCCACTTTTGTGCAGCTAGTGACTTGTGCTCTCCACTGTCATGCAGCAGCCTTTGCACTTATTTATTGACAGATAAAATGTGCATAATTTTAAAATACGGTGTGCAAAATTTGAACAGAATGCCATCAGGAGTAAAGAATCGAGGCCTTTATTGGACATAGGGACTTCTTCATTTGCTGGATCAGGAAGAAGGCCCCGAGCCTGAAAACCCCCCAGCTGTGCATCCAAAAAATACTTGGTTTGTTTGTCTGGGTCCTGGAGAATCTCATTTGAAGGAGTATGGACATACCTATGTAGGGAATGGCTTCAATGGCTGATAATCAGAGACGTTATATTGACATTCCCCTCCTCTTAGGAGGTGCATACAATTTCCAGTAACACATGTACATTCACGTTTTTAATACAGTGGAGCCAAAGGTATTAACCCTAATTCAACAAGATTAAATCTAATTCAGTACAGTTGATCTTAATTGCATATGGTTTGTCTGGGATTTTGCAGGATATTGTCAGTCTGTCACACTAACCATCTAGCCTTGTTAAAAATAAAATTGCTCTTGGTATTGGAACCAGATTGCCGTTCAAGTAAAAATGGGTGCCAAGCAGAAAACACTGCCAACCCCAGGTGGTAACAGCAGCAGACAAATGGAAGAGGCTAGTTTCTGTCCAGGGTATTGGCGTAGAAAAAATGTAAATGTTTTGCCTTTCTTAATTCTGAAGTTGGTTTTCGTTAGGCCTTTCTGATAACATAACTGCAGTGATCACTTAAAGCAGGGGTGGGTAATAATTTTTGGTGGAGGGGACCACTCTAAGATCTTGGAAAGTGATCAAGGGCTGCACTTTTCTGTGGCGGAGGTGTGGGGTCTAGGATGGAGGTTGGGTACAGAAGGCCACATGGGGTAAGGGACTGGGGTGCAGGAGATGGTGTGAGGTCTGAGAGGAGGTTTGGGTGCAGGAGGGGGTTGTGACCTAGGTCAGGAGAGTGGGATGCAGGGTCTGGGAGGGAGTTTGGGTGCAGGAGAGGATTCTGGCCTGGGGGAGGGATGTAGGAATGGGTACATCGTCTAGGAGGGAGTTGTGACTTGTGTCAGGGGCATGCAGAGGGTTTGGATGGTGACCTGGGGGAGGGAGTTGAGGCGCAGGGTGCCAGAGGCAGGCTCTGGCTAGGAGGCGCTTACCTAAGCGACTCCTGGCTAGCATCCTTAAGGCAAACAGGGCTCCTTGCCTGCTGCAGCTCCAGATGACTTAAAGCTGCAGGCTGCTCCCCCCATGTGGGGCATCCAGCTCTGGGAGGGAGGAGAGGCTTGCACTGCCCCTATCCCCCAGGCCAATCTCTCAGCTCCTATTGGCTGGTTGTTTCCAGCACACAGGAGCTGAGAGATTGGCTGGGGTCAGTTCCTATTGGCTGGTTGTTTCTGGCCAATAGGAGCTGAGGATTGGGTGGGAGGGGGACATGCAGAGAGCTGCCAAACTGCACTTTAAACCTGTGGCAGCTCTGTGTCTGAGAGTCCCGGCAGGGTGGTCCATGGGGTGGATCTGGCGGCTTTGTGGGCTGAATCTGGCCCCCGGGCCATATTTGCCAAGCCCTGACTTAAAGGTAGTCTGCTTCAAGAAGTTGCCTTTGAGGGGGGGAAAAAAACAAACTGTGTTGGATTAATAGGATAGCAAATGGCTTGATATTAGATTTATGGTAATTGTTCATGCCAGTATAGAGTGATTTCCCAGATACATGGCCTAAGGCTTTTATTTTATGCATAAATTGATCATGTTGTTTCTTTGTCTTTGAGAATGTTAAGATTTTGCAACAATTTCTAGAAAATAGCACTCCTTTTTCTGTAAACGGAACTCTAGTGTGTGTATAACATGCTTTAATCAGTCATGGCAAACAACTCAGAAATGGAGGACTATGCAGGCTTTGAAAATCTGTGATGATCTAATATTAAATATGTAGCAGATTTTCTGTGTTTTTATTTTGTCCAAACGTGTGCAGTTTGTATGCTTATGTGGGCATTGGGAATTGCTCTTGAATAATTTCTCAGGAATGTGGCATTTAGAAAATAAACAGGTCTGACCTAGATATTGCACATGATTTTCACAAGCTTCTAACTCACGCTACTTCTAGGAACATATATAAACTTCATTTCCTAGTGATTAGGAAACCCAAGACCATTAAAGAAGATGTTTTAAAAAATATATAATGGATGTGGCACATGTTGCAAAATGGAAGATTACTGATCTGTAATTCTTTTTAAAGGGTTCTTATTCTTGGGACTCAGGCAGCCAGCATGAGACAGACAGGAAATGCCCCTTGGGAAATGCTTTTCAGCTTTCCTCAGAACTGTACACAAGTTTTTGGTTGTGTCCTGAACTGCAGATACTCTAGCCAGTTCTGTTGCACAGGAACCAATAACTCATTATAGTGGGTCAGTGATAATCCTTCCTCCTTACAATTTATAAAAATGTATATACACTGCACCTTTGACAATAACTTATCACCTCACACAGAAACCTCTGTGCTCCCAGATTCTGCACAGAGCAACTGCCTGAGTGACTCCTAAAAGAATATCTCAGTTGTGACACTTTGAAGGTCATTCTTACCGAATGTTCCCACCTCAAATAGTTCAAAGGTGAAGAAGGCCATATCTTGTAAACAGAAGACCAATGCTCAGTATTGTAACAATGCAACTTTCATATTAAAAGAATTGACAATATTCCTTCATATAACAGTCAATTAGATTGACAAAGCAGTTATAGAATCCTAGATTACTAGAAATGGAGGGGACCTTGAGAGGTAATCAAGTCTAGACACCCTGTACTCATGGCAGGACCAAGCACCGTCTAGATCATTCCTGACCGATGTTTGTCTAACTTGCTCTTTAAAATTTCCAATGATGAAGATTCAACATCACCCTAGGGAAGTTATTCCAGTGCTTAACCACCCTGCTAGCTAGGAAGTTTTTCCTAATATCCAGCCTGCTTGTTCTATCATCAGAGATTAAGGAGAATAACTTTTCTTCCTCCTTGTTAACAACCTTTTAATACCTGAGAGAGGACATGATAAAAGCTTTCAGTCATCTCTTTTCTAGACTAAACAAACCAAGTTATTTCAATCTTCCCTCATAGGTCATGTTTTCTAGACCATTAATCATTTTTGTTGCTTTTCTCTGGTCCATCTCCAGTTTGTCCACATCTACTCTATATGTGATTAGGCCTCCGCTGGAATATTGTGTCCAGGTCTGGATACCACATTTCAGGAAATAAGAATTACTTCTCATGTTTTGCTTACAATACTTCTGTTAATAATCCCAGAATGTTGTTTGTGTTTTTGCAACACTGTCACACTTGCATTATGTAGCTTAATGCGTGTTTTTTCTTAATCTTAATTTTATATTGTTAGAAAATGGTGAGTATGCATTTATTATATTCTAGATTAATTTTTTACTCATAGTTTATGCAAATTATTTGGTTTGTGCAAACTGTATTTGGATAGAAATTGGAATTCATTTTAAAATGCACAATAACAGTATTTAAAATTATTAATAGTTAAATAAAACTATCTGAAAGTGCTAGCTATAGATGAAAAAAATATCAAAGTGACATCGTTTTTGTTTAAAAAAATGTATTAAAGTAAAACAAAGGAAGTATTCAACTAATTGTTTCATTCCCCATGGTTTTCAAGATTTTAGAGTTAGTTGGTTTCATCTTCTCATACCTACAGGGCGGGGGGGGGAACCACATTACTGTTTTTTTCAACTCCCATTTGGTTTCTCAATTTTAAAAGAACCAGTCATTAACAGAACTAATTAAAAAAAAAAATAAAGTGAAATGAGAATTTTCTCTGCACCTGCAGAAAAGGCTGCTGCTGTAAAAAAAAAAAACTGGTTTAGTATTTCAACAAACCCGGGATCCAGGTGTTTAGCAAGTGACTTAAACCAGTTCAGTTATTTGATTTTTTTGCTAATATGTAGCTTTTAGTATTGGTTTTCAACATTTCAAACAATTTTAAATAGGTTTCCACTTCTAAAAATAATGTATTTAAACAATCTTATTTAAATAAAATCAATTATTTAAGAAGATTTTTATCTGACGTCAAACAAAAAAAAACCTGGTTTAAACTAAAACAAATAACTTAGGTTTTTGTACCCATGTAGCTAATTGTATTTGAAATCATATATTTCAGACTAGTGTAACTGTGCATGTAGACAATCCTTTAATATGTGTGTTAGAAGTTTGCTTCCCCCCCCCTTTGAAAGGTAAATGATGGGTCAGTATTGTTCAAAAGAATAATTGATCAACTTTGGTTCCCCCCCGAAAGGTAAATGACAGGTCAGTATTGTTCAAAAGAATAATTGATCAACTTTGGTTGTTAATAGAAAAAAATCTTCTAAATGTTGCCATTACCTGATTGAGTTTTAATTTATCAAAGTAAAATAAAGAGCCAACTTTAGTGTATGTCTTTCCTAGGGGTTTCAAATGGAAATTAATATTTTGTCCACCTAATATGGAATGATTTGTCAGTTTGTGTTCTTGTAAAGATAAAAGGCTGAGTAGGCTTTTCAACTTGATAGTGATCCCTTGCTTTAGAGATTGTTGTGAAGCTTCAGAATAGGCAAGAAGAACATTAAAGATTTTTTTCATAAAGAATTAATCCTTCGCAGTCTCTCAGATGAAAATAAATGTCTTATTTTTTAAATTTTATGAAAATTATGTTTGGTTAATTCTGATTCTAGTTAATTTCTAAGGCAACTCTCAATTTAGTAATTGGACCTTCAGATTGTTATGGATTTTGAGGCTTCAGAAAAACTTGCAATAAAGTTCTTGTTATTTGTCAATCATAGAATCTATTACTAAGTTATACGCCACTTAACTCCAGTAGGAACTTTCAGATTCAAATTAGTGACTAAGAGAGACCCTATTGCACAATATTGAATCTGTCTGGAGAAGTTGGACATCTTGACATATGGATATAGGACAGTTGGGCCTTTTTGGCACCAAAAGAGGAGCAGAGGAGGCTGAGTTTTTGATATCTAGGAAGCATTTTAACATTTTGTATTGAGATAGTGTGTATCTCTTCTTCCTTTCTTGATTAGGGGAAGGAGCAGAGGCAACTT